ATCAAAACTACAATGAAATACCATTTGACTCCAGTAAGGATGGCTATCAATAAGTCAAAAACAACAGTTGCTTGTACAGGTGCAGAAAAAAGGCTATGCTTCTATACTGTTGGTAGAAGTAACGGCTATGGAAAGCAGTGTGGTGATTCCTAAAAGAACAAAAAATTGATCTTCTATACAATCCAACAATCCCTGTCCTGGAAGTATACCTGGAGGGACATAAATCATTCTACCAAAAAGATACCTGCACATGCATGGCTATTGTTGCACCATTCACAATAGCAAAAACATGGAAACAACCCCAATGAAAGTGGACTGGATAAAGAAAATGTGGTACATATAAATGATGGAGTATTATCCAGCCATAACAAAGAACAAAATCAAGGACTTCACAACACATTGAATGGAGTTGGAGACCATAATACTAAGCAAACTACCACAGAAACAAATAACTGAATACCACATGCTCTTTTTCATAAGTGGACCCTGAACATTAGTCATGTTAGCACAAGGGAGGAATGCGTAGTTGCTGGATACTGCAAAGGGAGGGAAGGAAGGAGCAGGGAGGGGGGCATGTGACAACACAAAGTGTACCTTGTCCACTCCCAGGGAAAGTGAGGGCCAGTTAGAAGCCCAAATTTCACCAGCATGCAGCCTGCCTACACAGTTAATCCTCACTTGTACCTCACAACTCCATAAAAAAATAAAATTCAAATATATATATGTACATATATATATATATATATACACACACACACACACACTCAGAATGCTATTTTTTGATTTAATATTTTAGAGATCATATATTGATTTTATATTGTGGTAGATGAGCATTGAACATCTTACACATTTACTCCACAGTCTCTTGTCCCACCCATGGGATTATTTTATGATTTAAAATGTTAAACCATATTTGCTTTACATTATATCAAGACAATCTAAAATATTATTCACTAAAGTTGTCTGTGGCAGCCGGGTTTGGTGGCTCAGCCTGTAATCCCGCGCCTTTGGGAGGCTGAGGTGAGT